AAGGATTCCAGCTGGTGGACTTATAGGGAATTAACTTGACTGATTCCATGCATTCTGATTCCACAGACTCTGTCATTTTACAAAAATTAGTAAGAAAAAATAATAGAAAGAATGAATCACACTTCTTTATCTTATCTGTATCTTAGCAAAACCATCTACCAATTTAATATATGACATCTTGTATTCTGGTGGCACTCAATAGTATTTCTTTGTTGCAGATGGTCATATGGTGTCCTATTATGGGAAATCGTTAGCTTAGGTAAGCATGCAAATTTTGTTCTGCACACATAAACCTACATGGGACAAGCCAATTCCATCCACTCAGCCTGCTTAAAGCTTCTTTCTTTGCAGCATATTTAATTTTTGTTCTGATTCGTTTAACAGAATCATAGTTAGCTTCAGTATGCTTGGAAATACAACTGTCACATTTTCAGCCTGGGTACAGTCTACATGACCTTGTTTTCATTGCACTGCAAAACAGAGGCCAAACCTAAATACAAAATTTAGCACATCACATGATCTGTAGTCCTAATTCCAAATGCAAAAAGGCTGATGAGCACAATTTGCTCAGCCTGAGTTTTAAATCCAGATTCTTTTTTTTTTTTTTTTTTTTTTGCCATGTCTCCTATTCCAGCACTGCTGAAGAAAATTTTTGATCATTAGCCAAATTTAATAGTTCAGCCAAATTTAATAATTTAGAGGGTTTTTTTTTCATGTCTCTATTCATGATGTAAGTGACACAGTCTTTGACTGTCACACAGTCACACTTTTTCATCTGTGTCTGAGTGTGCCCTGTGGTCTGCTGGCCAAGAGGTACAACTGATAAAGATGCACAGTGCACACTGGGCTAACAACAATTCTGGTCTAATTTATTACCAGGTTTCCTTACTAAGTGAACTAATGGGTTTGTTTTAGATATGGATGAGAGTTAGACATTGTTTTTCATTTCTGTTATGAATTGTATTTTCTTTCATAAAAAAGATACCACTCAGAACAATGTTTTGACTCTGCTTCAGGTGGAACGCCGTATTGTGGAATGACCTGTGCAGAACTCTATGAAAAATTGCCTCAAGGGTACAGACTGGAAAAGCCTCTCAACTGTGACGATGAAGTGTAAGTTCCCTGAGCAAACAAAATAAGAAGAGTAACACATCTGCTATAGGGGAGAATGTCTGAAATAAACTAATAGCAGAATTGTTCAAAAAACTTTTTTTTTTTTTGAATGCAGAAGTGGGCTTCTTTTTAATGGAATGTGTGCAATTTTTCAAAAAACATGAACTCATAGCTTTCACCTATGTATCTAAATCAGCATGTGTTGGTGTTTGATTTTAAAGGTATGACCTAATGAGACAGTGCTGGAGGGAGAAACCTTACGAAAGACCATCATTTGCTCAGATACTGGTGTCACTGAACAGGATGCTGGAAGAAAGAAAGGTAAGAACAAATCCCTAGACAAGAATTAGGCCATCAATAATTTCAGTATTGTTTAGGATTACTGAGGTAGTGTGTTTTGTATCACACTCTTCCTGTTTACTTCCTTTCCAGACCTATGTGAATACCACCCTATATGAGAAGTTCACCTATGCAGGCATTGACTGCTCTGCTGAAGAAGCTGCTTAAGATGGGAGCAAAGCTTCATTCAAAAAATGATTTATTAAAGAAAACCAAAACTCAGCCTGGGAGAACAAGATATGGTGTGCTGTGTAGCTCTAACTGTATACAATACAGTAATGTTTTACTACAGGTATCATCACATAGTAATCCCTGTCTTCACAGGCTCTAGAAGTGTATATACTGCTCAGAGCAGGAATAGACTGGAGTCATAAAATCTGCTGTCTCATATGCAGGGCATTCTTTTTTCTAGTCACATAGACAAAATGTATATGTTACAACTACTGTAGTGCATCACTTGTTGCCATCTTAAATACGTACCAAGAGCTACTGAGAGCAAAGTCAGTATCTTATAGCAGTATTTCATGTACATCTTAATTGTGATTAAAAAAAAAAAAAGCTAAGCTCAGTGTGACAATGGAAACATGCAAGCAGATGTCAATCCAGTATTCTCACCAATTAGTTACTATGACTCCTATTTGAACATAAAAGTAAGGTGGTAGGAATTATCTGCTTGAAAAGTCTGCTGACGCTTGTAAAATACAAGGAATAATATTGTTCTTTCATTGTCCAGTTTGACACTGTTTGCCTAACTTCAAAAAATAAGTATGTATTTTTAAGTCTTTGATGCTATGTGAAGCAACCATCCAGAAATCATCACAAAGCGTAGGACAGAAGAATATACTACGTTATTGGGGATATACATGACTTTTTTTCTATTTGTATTTCATTTACTAATTTTACTGCACAATTATAAATTACTACTTGTTATATACAAGCAGGACTTACTTTTCCTTATTTTATCCCTTATGCAGGTTGCTGTATGACTTTGTAAAATATTTTACTGAAGGGCTTTGAAACAATGGTATCTGCCTGCCAGAAAGATCTAGTCTGTAGGTTAGACAAAAAGAGGCATGGTAAGCACTGGTTTAAGCATTAGTGGGTTGTATGCTCTGTCTTCCACAGCACACTACACCAGAACACATTTCCTCAATGTTGCATTAAAGGATCAAAAGGTTTGGTGGAAAATAAACCCCCTTGCATTTCAGCTTGTCCTGATACCAGCTGGACTGTGGACAGCTGGGATTACATCCTGAGAGATGCCCAGTTTAGCACTGTAAGTCTGGTTGCATTCAATATATGAACTATTAATGCCCAACTGATCTAGTTGCAGTCAGATAGGCTCTCATGGCTAGATCAGTGAATACTGCTGTTTACTGAAGCAACAGACTGCAGATTCCTTTGGATTGCCAATGGTACATGCACTGTCTGCAGAGGTGTGGGATGGATGTGTGCTTTGGTATATTACAATGAATAATGAGGAAAGTTCACACAGGAATGTGTTTTCAACCAAAAAAAAAAAAAAAAAAAAAAAAAGTCGAAGAAGAAGGCTCAAACAAATAGATGTGCAGATTTTCAGTTCCATAGGACCACTGAGTTCCCATCTCTGCAGTGTCATCATGGAGCCTCGTGACATTATTTCTAGTCCACTCCACCCTTACTGCTGTTTCTCCTCTAGTCTGCATTCAGCTCCCCTGGTGTTGCTAACACCTAAGTCTGCAGGTCATGTTGCCCAGGGAACCATCCTGGAACAGATTATTTGCACATTCACTGTATTCCACCTTGATAGTTTCTCAATGGTGTACCTATTTTTAAGAGGAGACATCTCAGTGTCACCTACAATAGCTATTCCATAGGCCCAAAGTGTCTTTGTTTATCTGTAATCTAGAACATAATGCTCCCAACTCCCAACAATTATTATTACAAATATCTCACATCCTAATACCCTTTGTACATCCCTACTAATTTACACCTGCCTACTTCTACACACAAATTGACAGTATCTTCAGCAAAAGACCTTTTGTTGCTTTTGATACTACTACATCCTTAATCTTCCCTTATCAAATACAGTTCTCAAGCTCCTATTCAGGGTAAGTTTATGCTTGGGAAAGAAGAAAAGCATTTCAGAAAGTGGAGCTGAATGTGACATAGTATGTGCAGGTAACCGTTTACAGCTGAGTGTTACCTACAGTTTGCAATTATCAGGAACATAATCAGAGGTAGTAGAGAATTTAAAAAGAAGAAATGCCTGCATGCAAGTTCTCCCCAGGAAATTCTCCCATTAGGAAAGCCAGCATTCTAACCTCGTGAACACATTCATGAGATGGCTAGCAGAATCAGAAACGAGTTTAGTTTGGGAAATCAAGTCAGCATAGGTTGGATATTGGCAAAAATCTCAGAAGGAGCAGTGAGGCATTGCAACAGGCTGCAGAGAGTCATCGTCCCTGCAGATGTTCAAGAAAAGGGTAAATATGGCACTGAGGGATGTGGTTTAGTGGGCATGGTGGTGATGGGATGACTACGTGATCTTGGAGGTCTTTTGCAACTTTTATGATTCTATGAAAGCACCATCACTTTCATATGCTGTTCTGCACTGTTTTCCACATAGTTTGAGTGAGCTTGAGTGCCATCTCCAAGGCAACACTTTAATTTCAAGGTAGTCAAGGACAACTTCAAAATGCTGAAAACATGGAAGTACTAACAATAAAAAGAATGAAGAAACTGACTGGAAATGGGCTGTTAACACCCACCTGCTGGCTAGTAATGTGGCTGGAAAAAATAAATCTATTAATAGCTAGATATCAGAATGAAGAAATTGCATAACTACTTTGTACTTCAATATTGTGGGACAGAAATAATTTCACAATTTATAATTTCTTGTATATGAAAGATCATGAAAATTAACTGAAAGATTCCTGCATTTTGAGCTTGCTTCAGAAGACTGCAGCCAAGCAGTTTTTCTAAATCAGTTGCATTTAGTCTGTGACCTGGAAACCCCAGTTTTACATGCTCCAGTTCTTAAAATTTCTCAACAGAAGTTTTCTGCAGAATCTGCCTCTACTTCTGACCTCTGGGTCAGAGCACTTTTCTTCCCCATGTCAGTAGTGTCAACAGCTGTGTTGCTGTATTGCAGCTGTATTGCTGCTGTTGGGTGGGGGTGGCAAAGTGTGTGTTATGGCAGAAGAGAAGAGAAAGAGAAAAATACACTAGAAAAACTCTATTAGAAAGATCTGCCAAGAGATTTTCTTTTTCTAACAAGAATATCTGCTGCACTGTTGTCCAGGCCTGCATGTTATGGTATACAAAGAAGCAGCATCCATGGCTGTTAATGCAAAAACATTCCAAGTGCACACGTACTTTTCTATCTTTTCCAAAGAAAGAATACTTCTTTTTTCAAAATCCTGTTTGTTAATTTTAGGTCAGAAAATATTTGTTCAGAAAATAAGTATTCTTTAGAGATTGCATCACTCCATCCCTGTTCATCATGAGCCACTGATGGTGGCTGAATTCGTGTCAGGAAGGAATTGTGACAGTTTCAGCTGCCCATATCTCCTATTAGAACATGAAGTTTATTCAACGCTGTCAGGAAATACTGAGTAACACACTCAGTGAGTCACAAGCTCTATTTCCAGAATCATAGTTGCTCATAAGCCAGCTCCTAAAGCTTCTTGGTGGCTGGCACTAGGATTATATTCAATTTCACTTTTAATTTGAGTCTTCAGACAAAGAGGTTCTACTGCGATTTGATGCAACAGCAGTGAATAGCTCATCAACCGAGTTCATAAGAGGCACAGTTTCTGAGTCTGAGGATTTCTTGTGTGAGCTGTCCGCATTCATCCCACCCTCTGCCGATCTCTGCTGTTCAGATGAGCGTCCAAAGGTATGACAGGTATTCCTGAGCCACAGAACAAAAATAATTATGTTATTCTTGCCCAAGGAGGTTGTGGATGCCCCATCTCTGCAGGCATTCAAGGCCAGGCTGGATGTGGCTCTGGGCTGCCTGGTCTGGTGTGGGCGACCCTGCACATAGCAGGGGGTTGAAACTAGATGATCATTGTGGTCCTTTTCAACCCAGGCCATTCTATGATTCTGTGATCCTATGATTCTGACTACAGGGATTCAATGGAAACTTAACAGATACCACAAAGACATATATATGGATAATAAATGACTGAATTTTAGCTTTACTGAATTTTATTTTTTTCAAGATTTCACCTGACAAAGAGGAGAATCTCATCTTACCACAGTTTGTGCACAGGTTCTTGGAAGTAATATAATTTATATTTTGTTATAATTTCTGCATTTTCTTTCCATTTGCACATGCAGCCTTAGTGCTTACCATGTTCTAACATAGTTTTTTAAATCCACATTTAGAGTAGAACCTTACTTCATTATCCAAAAACCTACAGCCCTCTCATTTACTGGGGGTTAAGGGTGTCAGTGAGAGCATCTTTCAAAAAATATACAACATAGTAACTAATAGGATATTATACAGCCTGAGACCTACTATCATGTCTGCCTCCAGCTTGCAGAGAGCTCAGAGGTGCAGTAAAGGGATCAAAACAGCATGGACACAGCTCATGACTGGAAAACTTACCCTTTTTGCATTCTGCATTTTCTAAAAGCCACACAAAAACAAACCAGAAATATTAGGTAGATGGCAAGAGCTATAGATGACACAGCAAGAATTGCAGTCTCTTTTAAATCTTCTTTACTGGTTTCTTCAGCTGTGTTTCCTTGAATCAAATCAGCGTTGTCAGACACTACAACAGTAAAGCACATCACACCATCAGTATTCAAACAGCTAATGTGTTGGGCAAAGATATTATACCTATACAGCCTGCAAATAAAAAATGAACGCTTTCTAGTATAATGAATCATTCTGCAAAAACACAAACTCATTTAATTGTAAATAACTCAGCCGAAATTATATCTTTTCCAGTCTTTCTACACACAGGTGGTAATTCTGATAGAAGCTGAGCAGCTCCATGGGCTAAAGAGATGTCAGTATTTTGAGCTTCATTACAATTCATTTTTTCATACACTTGGAGATGAGGTCATCTTTGGGTTATTGATTCTGCATATTCTTGCCTCACTGTGTGCAAAATCCAACAAGGCTGCTACATCACTGGTTGGCATTTTGTGGAGAGAGACATGACCTGAATAGTGTCTGTTGCCACTGAAATTGGGAAATTGTGCGCTCCTGTCCAGTCAGAAAAAGTGTCTGTGACGCAATAAAAAGAACAATTTATTTTCCACCGCTAGTTCACTTGTTTCAACAGAAAAAAGTGAGATTTATTGCGAGTCACTTAAAAGCAGTGAAATATTCTATGAGGATTTAAAATAATATGTGTGTGTCTGCTTATAAAAATTACAGATAATTTCAACTTTTTACTGTTCTTGCCTGTGGAAACCAGAGAAACTCAGAGCCCTCACTGACTTCGTAAGTGTGTATTTTTTAAGATTTTTACAGATTACGTAGATGTTCCAGTTTGTTATAGTTTACACAGATATACAGCCCAACCCATTTCTTCTAGATCTTATTAACTTCCCTGATTGCAGCTAATAAGCTGACTTCCCTAATAAGCAGCACTAATCAGATCCAGATCTTCTGCTATGAGCACTGCAGAGTTTTTAAATGGTGACTCACTCACAGTTAAAAAAAAAAAAAAAGGTTGTAAAAAAGTCATAGATTTATCTTTACTAATCCAGGTTTCTGCTCTTCCGTCTCTTTAAGAGACATAGAATCATAGAAACTATGAATTCTGTGTATGAGACATGCTCATAAGCATTCAAAAATTTGGCTATTGGTTCTGAAATGCTTAAGATACAGTGATAGTTCAGTATTACATGGAAAAGGAACAGATTGGTCAGTGATGTGGTTGATGCCTCGTCCCTGGAGACTTTCAAGGCCAGGCTGCATCAGGCCCTGGGCAACCTGATCGAGCTGTGGTGTCCCTGTTCATTGCAGAGGAGCTGGACTAGACAGCCTTCACAGGATTATATATGATTCTATGAAAAACCTTACATTTAAGCAATAACCTTTTATCCTAGCTTTTATGATTCTATATAGGAATTTAGAACACACAGACACTACTCCTAGGATAATCTCTTTCATTAAGTTTGTTTCATACAAAAAATTTTGCTTATTAGCCCCTTGTTAGAAAATGAAATGAGATTACTACATTTTTCTCAATTAATCAGAAATAGAAATAAGCTAATTTATTTTTCCAGACATAGAGTAAGCATAAACTGCTGTCTGAATGAACCAGTATGGGGAAAGAACACAGAACCTCAGAAGCCAAATTGTACCTTAGATCACAAGCACATGTCTCCCATTCAGGCCAGTAGAAACTTATCCATGCATTTGTGAATATGTTGACCATATTGCCTCAGTTGAAAAGTAGTAGTAAAATATGCTTGGAGGTAGGCAGGAAAATGAAAGGTACACAATCTGAGGCACTTTTCGTGGATACAAGCATTTCTTCACACTCAGTACTTACTAGCATTGTGTTTTCTATAGTCTGTCAATATGGATTAAGTTTCATCATCTACTGGCTCTGATGTTTCTACCTGCTAATATGTGTGTACCTCAAACACAAGGTCTGCCTCATGTTTTTCCTGTTCTGTGATTGTAGGATGAGAGTACGACAAAGACTCTTGAATTAAAGTTTCTTATTGATTTAATTATTACTCATCAAATTTAGAATTGACATATTTCTTACAATACTTCGTTTGATAAATTAAAGTCTTATTTAATCCTTTGCTGAGTTCTTTACCATACCATTCAAAGGCTGTTCCCCACTGTAGTTCTGTAGGGCTGTGTTATGATACTGGGGTCCAAATCTGGATTCTGGAAAGGAAAAACAGCAGCCAACTGCTCTGTCTCAGGAATAATCAGAAAGTTCAACATTTGAGTAGAAAAGGAAGCAGAGGAAGCATGCCTACAAAAACTACCTCATGAGGGTCAGAAGTCTAAAAGACAGAAAATTAGAAATCAGATATTTCTCTAGAAGACCTAGTTAGAAAAGTGGTAAGATGGCTTCCTTTAGGATAAGGAAAAAACATTTTATTCGCTTGAGTTTTGCAGTTCTGCAGTGATTAAAAAACTGAACGTTTAAAATAGCTATATAAGGAATTTACAAACAACAGAAGAATATTTGATCTTGAGCTCAGTCATAATCAGATCAGAAAATATTTGTTTAGTGTCATGGTAGAAGCACACTAAATATACTAGTGCTAAATGCACAAGAGATACCATAACCCCAAAGAAAATGCCGATTAGTTGTTACCTAGTCTCTTTGCTTCCTCAGAAATCTCCTCTTCATCTCCTTCAGTGGAGAGGAAATTTGCTACAAGCAGTAATAATAAAGAAGCTGCAGTTAAGCAGGAAAAATCTCATAGGAATAGAAACAAACTGCTTACAAAAATCCCTGTCTCTACACACAGATTTTAAAGCAGAGCTGCTTTTGCAGGAGTGTTTTCCAGTTTTGTGTCTGATTTTTCATGGCTGTTTGTGGAAAGCAGTGTATAATTTGCCTGTGGTGTGCTGAGTGGTACAGCAGTTTTCACCTGAGACCAACTGTTTTGCTTCCTGACTGAGAATGATGATGAATATGTTACTTCCTATCTACAGCTGCTAAAACAGCAGAAAAATGCATTGCTATTAGAGTCCACTTTTCTCATCCTCAGTTGTTAATGTCTAACAGAAGTGCCTCAAAGGCACGATTTGGCCAGCACTGGAATGGCCATGCTGATCTATGCACTATACTGTGTGTTGGCAGTACGGTGGTCTTATTTCTTTTCTACAGTTAATTCAGAAGTGGGCTCTCTTTAACCACTGACTGTAAACTTTGTGAATGATCACAAAGGTCATCAATAGGAAGATTATTGAAACCTGGAGAAAAGAAGCAGAGCCCTGTAAGGACTGATCTATCACTGCAAGTCAAATAATACCGATGCATTTATTTTCTTGAAAGGTAAGAGGCAGGCAGGCTATTCATTCTCTCACCTCCCATTCTGTAATTTTGTTTAGTTGTTTGGACTTCTTGGCACAAGCTGTCTGATAATTTTGCCCAGCCAGTCTCTTTCTTGTGGACTTTATGACTACTTTATGTGACTTTAGATACTTCTACTTACAGTGGTCCTGCAAACTCTGCAAAGTCCTCCTTGACAGATCCTGCTCATGATCTAGGTGGAACACAAGTGTCATTGCAGAAACTCCCAAACGAGTGCATACCAAGTTAGACTCTTATTTTGGCTCTATAAGTCTGGCGTTTTCTGAAGAGCACAAAAATTCTCAAACCCAAGCGAAAAAGATGGTTTTCAAGCTACCCAATTGTGCTCTAGTTGATTTGAGGTTCATCAAATGCTGCCATTTTTAGAGAAAAACAAAACAAAAACAGCCCCTGTGAAGGTTGGTACCTTCCAATTCTCTTTTTCAATACTGGATTCTGGTATTCTGCCTAAAATGCGATTGAGATGAGTGTTCTGAAGGCCACATCTAATGCTTTCCACCTCTAAATTTTGAACTCTTGATCCTAAGGTGGCAGTACAGCCATACTTAACTTCATTTTATTGGTTTCTATCATTTCTCTTTTACCAGCATCATTATTAATTTTCCCTACCATGCTCCCATCAATCTTCAGGAAACACTGCTGTGCAGAAAATGAAACAATCACTTCATCAAATGTTGGATATTTTTAAACCTGTTTTTGCTGATGGTTTGACAGGCTACAAAACATGTTGCTGCAACAGGCGACTAAAACTAGTGGGATAAATTATAAAGCAATATAGTTAACTTTCCCTAAATGCTGTTACTTGTTATTTAATAAGATCCCCGTTTTAGAAGTACAGCTTGCTTCCAACAGCTGCATGCTGAGAAGCTGCGCTGACACTGAGAAGCTGTCTGTTTTCAGGAGTGTATGCTCGGCCATTGTGGCACTGTGTGGTTGCTGGAGGTGCTGGAGGAGCTCTATGCACTCCTGTACTTGCACACTGGCAGAACAAGTCAAGCTGTGGAGCAAGTCTGCAAAACAGCAGTGGAAGGGAATGGCCTTACTAAGCTCTCCGAAAAAAACTGCATTTAACAGTCAGAGAAAGCCTTTTGCCTTTCTTTGTACCTAGCTGAACATAATCTCTCTAATTACTTTTACCAGAAACAGGTTTTGATTGGTACGTACCATAAAAAGGGAGAGAGAGTACCAAGAAGAGCAGCGTGAGCCACATAGCAGACACAGAGCTGCTTCTCCAGGGGGCCTCAGCTGCTCCCTTTGTCACCCCCCACACTGTGACATCATCAGGTGAGATCTGCACTGCTGGGTGGGGAAACCCCACAATTACATGGGTGTAAAGATGGCACCTGATGAAGACATTACTACAGACTGAGCTGCTCAGGGCCCTGTGAATTTGCAAGGACTGAGCACGATTCCGCGCAAAAGCGCCAACCTATTTTGTTGTGGTTTTAAGGGACGTATCTCCCTCTGCTGACTGCAGAAGGAAAAGTCACTCGGTGTTGTAAGTAATAAAGAGCACGGAAAGTGTTGCAAAACAAAAACGTGAAGAGAAAACAAAAACAAAACCGAGTCTTAAAACAACAGCGTGCCAGGAAAAGAGAATTTCATAGTTGGTTTATTTAGCCAACATTCACATGGCGTACAGCTGACCCTCACTACTCATATAAGCACGAATTACAAAGCTGATGGAGGAATACAGGGGTGTTCCTGGTGTGGCACACGGAGTCCCAGCCTCCAGCTTCGGCCATTCGTGGCTGAGTGAAATGAATCTTAAACACGGTCACCCTTCTTGGGGGCACTCTTTTCAAAGTGTAATAGCTGCCAGTTTTTAAATCTTGATCGCTTGAAGGCTTTTCACTGAAAGAGATCATAAAGAGAACAGCTGGGAGGGGCAACAAGGAGGAGACCCATATAAGTATATACCAACGCTTTGGAAGATGTTGGTGAGAGACTGCAGAGAGACTGCTGGTGCCTAGCCTGCCTCAGACATGCTGTCCCGTGTGACACCACTGAGGAGACCTGGAGCATGTCGTCTACTGAAAATGTGTGGTACAGCATTTGTGCAAGCACTTTCACCTATGTGCACGCATGGCCAATACAGCCAGTAAGTGGCAGCTGCACACAGTGGATTTCGGGTACCTTCCAATTCCTTGCAGTAAGTTCTGGCAGATGCACTATGCAGGTCTCTGCTTGCAGTTGCAGAAAAGATTCATATTGCCCTTTAAGTAGGGGTGTCCACCATTATTTTCAAAGCTGACATGCTAAGCTATCTTCTAGCATTAACAACAGAATACTGAAATTAAAGCCAGGCGGATGCATTTTGCTTCCTTACAGAAAATAATAGAGACGTGTATGACTGTATTAACAGGTTTTATTTCAGAGCATTTGTTCTTAGCTGTCCTGCAATTGGCTTACAACAGCCTCATTGTCACTATGCCATAGATCACAGATTCTACTCCATTTTCATTTTTCATGAAATAATTATATGGCCTGTTGTTTTAATGGATAAGCATTGCTACACGATTGAAGTTAATGAGAGAAAACCTGTTAAATTTATGTCATGGCCTTTGAAAATGTATTGCTCCTTAGACATAAAAGCATGTTCTATTTAGGACCAGCTCTGCAATTTTTTACACTTCTCAACTTCTGCAGAAGAGGCCCAAACAAGTGTTCAGTGGAACTGGTAGTTTCTCCCCACCCATGAAGAGCATTCCCAGGCCAAATGCTGTCCTCACTTGATCTTCCCCAAAACCAGTAGCCGGGAAGGTTCAAGAAATAGAAAGTACCGTGAGAAATTTCATAATAACCTGTGAAAAATAATTCTGCTCAGATAACTATTAGTTCTACTTCATTTTGAACATCAATCAGAGAATTCAGTTTTTAGTTACAGTCTGCAAACAGTTATACTGCATTTCACTTTTCACCTTTGTTCTTTCACTAGCTTCAACAAAAAGCTTTCCCTTTCACTTGCTGGCCGTGCTGGTTGCTTGCTCTGTACCCCTCTCGTTCCTTTTGAGCAAGAAAGAGCCTTCTCTGAAGGTGGTACATAAATGCTAGTGGCATACCATCATTCAGCCAAGATCTGTATCAAGGGTTAAATTTCAATCTACAAATCCAGGTACAAGTACTGCTGCTCCCATGCCTTGCTAGCCACACCATAAAAATCAGCTTATTAGCTCATGGGAAAGCAGTTAGAAAACACATGATCAGTATTCGTATTTGAGAGCAAACTTGAGATTTTATGCTCTTCAGTGTTGCATGCACTTACTGAGAAGAGGGACATGGCCTCCATCCCTGCTCTGGTAGCCAGGCCCCCTGCTTTCACAAGGCACCGTGGAGTACCCCTGTGCTCACTTCTTGCCTCATGGCCCTGAGACAGAAGCTTTATGACAACTTACAGTACTGCCAGTTCTCATGAGCTTTTGGTTACTTTTAGGAGATTGAGGGGGTAAAAAAACAAACAAACAAACAATCCAGGGGAAGATACACCCATTCTCCACCTTCTCTACGACTCACCCAGGCACTTTTAGCCAAAAATCCATACCCCAGCTAGGCTCAGCTCCCCTTGGTTTTGCAACACACTACACTCAGTTTTTCTGTTGAAATAAATGTAGAATTCCCTTACACGTACTTTGAGATACACTAACTTCTCCAAGGAATCTGTGGAAGGGAGTTCTGCCAGCCTCTGTAAAGGGTTGACCTTCCCTCCCAGCTGCTCCATCATTTCAGGGGCTGCCTTACCATATTCACCTGGCTTATTGACCAGTTTTCTGTACTGCCTGCAGGTCACAGGGACTGCTACCACACCAGCTGTGCACAGGGGAATTCACAACCATACCTAGCATAACCTAGCACAGGAACCTGTATTGAAGGGTGGCCTGTCACTGAAACCTGCTCACTAAGAACACCAGCTCTACTTCAAGGCTACATGCATCAGCTTAGAAATTCACTGTCATACCACACTGTTTAAGAAAGATAAATGTAGTGCATTAAATACATAGTATTTTGTTGTTTCTTCCCTTTTTTATTTTTCTGAAGAGTTTGTCTACAAATGCATGCTATTTTTCTCCTTGTGCTTGATCATGCCATAGCTACCTAAAAAATTAAGCAAGCAGGCAGATTAATTACATACAGTATTAACATGATTATGATGATCACTGAATCACAGAATCATAGAATAGCCTGGGTTGAAAAGAACCACAATGATCATCTAGTTTCAACCCCCCCTGCTATGTGCAGGGTCGCCAACCACCAGACCAGGCTGCCCAGAGCCACATCCAGCCTGGCCTTGAATGCCTGCAGAGATGGGGCATCCACAACCTCCTTGGGCAACCTGTTCCAGTGTGTCACCACCCTCTGTGTGAAAAACTTCCTCCTAATATCTAACCTCAGCCTCCCCTGTCTCAGTTTAAAACCATTCTCCCTTGTCCTATCATGATCCACCCTTTCTTTCTCTCTCCTGTTTATATGCTCCCCTCAAGTACAGGAAGGCCACAGCAAGGTCTCCCCGGAGCCTTCTCTTCTGCAGGCTAAACAAGCTCAGTTCCCTCAACCTTTCCTCACAGGAGAGGTGCTCCAGCCCTCTGAACATCTTAATGGTCCTCCTCTGGACCGGCTCCAAGAGCTCTGCATCTTTCTTGTGCTGGGGGCCCCACTTTGGGTCCAGTGTGATGGCAAAGGGGAGAACAGGTGACTTAATTCTGGAGCTTAACTCAGTAGCTCTTACACAGGGGTGCAGAACTTATTCTTGTTTCCATTAGGAAAGGCAGAAAACACTTAGTCCTATGCATTGTCTAAATGGTAGCACTACTGAGCCAGAGGCTGCCACCACACTGTGAGGTGCACCAAGTTCAGTGGAGGTCGCTGTGTTCACACTTTGCTCCGCTCTCACACTGGAGGAGCAGCACCTCTCAGCGGGCAGCTCCTGCCACTACCAGCTGATGGAAGTTGCCCATTTTATAGCAGAAATTAATGTGTCAGGTGCTCAAAGCTGAACTAAACACAGAAGTGTCCTGGTTCGCAGAGCTGACTGGCCAGGCAGGATTTCCTGTTGCTCCAGGAGGACTCGATGGCCCAAGTCCTGTTGGTGATACCATACAATAGCAGGAGAGGGGCCTCGTTTACTCCCTGTATACTGAGATGCCATCTCCTTCTTCTACCACCACTCCTTGTGTCATCTTTATTGCTGAATGGCCAATAGCTACATGGTGTATGGCTTTTAAGGATGTGAGTAACGTGTGATTTTCACTCTGCTACTAATGGTACATGTGCACCAAGTGTGTGATTGGATTACCAGCAACTTACTTGAATTGCTTCTAACTGCTGTGATATATTAAACACAATCCAAGCGCTTGAATCATGAGGTCCACCTGCTGTATGTCAGAACTACTTTGTTAATCAGGCAGAGTTCTCTGTTTTTTGAAGCACTGCCTGCTGAGTTTGCATCATTTCTGCTCTGAGGACCATGAAGAGCAATGTGAAAAACAGGGAGGATGAATTCTGCTTTGCCCCCTGCTGCGCAGCAGCAGGGAGTGCCACACATTGCATATGTGATGTAAATGATGCAGCTGACAGTGCTTCCAGTGCTACAGGGAGTGCAGGCTGGCTGTGACATCTCCCCTGGATCCCTCAGCTGGCCTAGGAGGTGGCTTCCATGACCCAGGGAGCTGCATGCAGCGGAGAAGCAGCTCCTTCCCTGATACTGAATGTCTCCTCTTGCCTGGACAGTCAAAATGGCAGCAGCAGAGCAGATTCTGATGGTGTCATGCTGTGACCAGCACACCACTGCAGCTGGAGGCCACCAGTCCAGCCCACACCCACAGCAGGGCCACTGATCACATTGCTGAGGCTGTACCCAGTAGAGTTTTTGTTATCTTTGGGGATGGAGACTCTACAGCCTCTCTGGGAAACCTGCACCAGTGTTCTACAGCACTAACAAAAGTTTTCCTTATGTTTGAATTTCCTGTACTTCACTTTGGGTCCAGTGCTTCTGCTAGAAACTGCTGGTTCCTCTAGATGCCACTGAGAAAGGTCTGGCTCTGTGTTCTCCACTCCTCACACCTGGTATTTATACCTGTGGATGCCCCATCAGCCTCTCCAGGTTGAACTTGCTGACAACACTCCTGCTAATGCAGCCCTGATGCAGCCCTGGTCTCTGCCACTAGGGAGGGCTGATGGGTCACGGCCATCTTGGTGACCACCAGGTGACCCCGGGTCACTTTTTGCCAGGCTCCTTTACAGCCAGGTGCCCCCAGCATGCCCTTAGGTTGTCCCTC